AACTTGTAGTATAATTTCAGAGAGATCCATACACCGTTGCACAGTTATTGTCTGGAAACTAGAAAATGCTTATTTTTGGCCCCTTTTTGGCCCCTAATTCCTTAACTGTTGGTACCATAACCCCCAAAATCAATCCCAACCTTCCTTTTGTGGTATTTAACCTTATGGTCAAATTTCAAAAAGATCCATTCACTTAAACTAAAGTTAGAGTGCGAAAACCAATGTGTATTTGGACGACGACGCCAACGTCATACCAATATACGAACACAAAATTTTTTTGCGGTCGTATAAAAATTAAGAATCTAAATACACGGTTAGATTCAGCATATCAAAGAACCCCAATAATTCAATTTTTGATGAAATCAAACAAAGTTTAATTTTGGACCCTTTGGACCTCAATGTGGACCAATTTAAAAACAGGGCCCAAAATCCAAAAACTAAATACACGGTTAGATTCAGCATATTAAAGAACCCCAAGAATTCAAGAATAAAACCCCATTGAAATTGGTCAAGAAATAAGCAATTTATAGGAAGTATCTTCTTTTGCACAATACTGTGCAATTAAATATTTCTTGCTATTGCGCAATACTGTACAATTGACAATTTCTTGCTATTGCGCAATATTGTGCTATTGGATATTTCTTGCTATTGCGCAATACTGTGCAATTGAAGATTTCTTGCTATTGCGCAATACTGTGCAATTGAAGATTTCTTGCTATTGTGCAATACTGTGCAATTGAAAATTTCTTGCTATTGGACAATACTTATTATATAATAATTTACACATCCTGTTTGGTGTGTATCTCCAACCATATCATTATCATTTGCTTTTAAATATAAATCAGAAAAACCAACATAAAATGGAAAATTTTAAAAGAAAAAAAAAGGAAAAAAAGAAAAAAAAGGAAAAAAAAAAAAAAATCCACCCCCAAATTTTTTGAACCCCCTTATGATTCATCACCCCAAACTCAATCCCAGCCATCCCTTTATGGTATGGTACCTTGCAGTACAATTTCAGAGAGATCCATACACTTGAACACAAGTTATAGTCTGGAAACTAGAAAAATGTGTTTTTTGGCCCCTTTTTGGCCCCAAATTCCTAAACGTTTAGGGCAATTACCCCCAAACTCAAACCCAGCTTTCCCTTTGTGATATGGAACCTTGTAGTACAATTTCATAAAGATCCATACACTTACACACAAGTTATTGTCCTGAAACTAGAAAAATGCTTGTTTTTTGCCCCTTTTTGGCCCCTAATTCCTACAATATTGAGGCAATTACCCCCATCATCAATCCCAGCCTTCCCTTTGTGGTATGGTACCTTGCAGTACAATTTCAGAGAGATCCATACACTTGAACACAAGTTATAGTCTGGAAACTAGAAAAATGTGTTTTTTGGCCCCTTTTTGGCCCCAAATTCCTAAACGTTTAGGGCAATTACCCCCAAACTCAAACCCAGCTTTCCCTTTGTGATATGGAACCTTGTAGTACAATTTCATAAAGATCCATACACTTACACACAAGTTATTGTCCTGAAACTAGAAAAATGCTTGTTTTTTGCCCCTTTTTGGCCCCTAATTCCTACAATATTGAGGCAATTACCCCCATCATCAATCCCAGCCTTCCCTTTGTGGTATGGTACCTTGCAGTACAATTTCAGAGAGATCCATACACTTGAACACAAGTTATTGTCTGGAAACTAGAAAAATGCTTATTTTTGGCCCCTTTTTGGCCCCCAATTCCTAAATGTTTCAGCAATTAGCCCCAAACTCAATTCCAGCTTTCCCTTTGTGATATGGAACCTTGTAGTACAATTTCAGAAAGATCCATACACTTACACACAAGTTATTGTCATGAAACTAGAAAAATGCTTGTTTTTTGCCCCTTTTTTGGCCCCTAATTCCTAAAATTGTGAGGCAATTACCCCCAAAATCAATCCCAGCATTCCTTTTGTGATATGGAACCTTGTGGTACAATGTCAGAGAGATCCATACACTAACACACAAGTTATGTCTGGAAGTTACAAAAATGCTTATTTTTGGCCCCTTTTTGGCCCCTAATTCCTTTACTGTTGGTACCATAACCCCCAAATTCAATCCCAACCTTCCTTTTGAACCTTGTGGTAAAATTTCATAGAGATCCATTCACTTAAACTAAAGTTAGAGTGCGAAAACCAATGTGTCTTCGGACGACGCCGGACGACGACGACGACGACGCCGACGCCAACGTCATACCAATATACGACCACAAAAATTTTTTTGCGGTCGTATAAAAATTGCTGAATTTTTAGTTTCTGTTCTCTACTTAAGTTAGCCTCAACCAAATGTTATGAGCCTTACACGCAATGCTTATTACCACAAAACTCAGATCAAGTTCAAATTTGGGTAGTGTCACTTTTACCGTTCTTCAGTTATGTCCCTTTATAACTATATATTATGCAAGCGTATTATCCACATTTATTTCCTCATTGATAAAGGATCGTTAATTAGGTTATACATGTAGCAACGGTACACCGGAAATGGTCATTATTAATTTCAAGCTCTGACTCTCAAGAAGGAAAACTAATTGACCGGTTGAGTTGAGTATGCATCTTTAGATTGGTCTTCGCTCTTAAGTTGACCAACGGAGAAGAGGCTCCTCACAAAAAATAAAATTGTTGAGCCAAGAACTTGGTTTTGACAAGACATGGAAATCAGAAGCGTTAAAGGACAAATAGTATGAAAATAAAAGGAATAGAGTATTTTAAAAGTTTTATAATCCAAAAAAATTCTAATTTACAATCTGCCCACCAAAACTTTTTTTTTTTTTTTTTTTGCGGGGAGAGGGGAGGGTGGTGCAAACAACAATTCAATAATTCATCAATTATTTGGTTTTCATCTCTTCATTAACTTTAAAACTTCGCACTGGATGACAGTGAAGAAAATATAAGTCAATGAGTCATGATATAATCTTCATGTAAGCTAGCATAGAAAAACATTGCAAAATTTGCCTCTAGAATCTTAAGTTTAAAGTTGTTTTATTTTTGGTTGGTTTTATCACACTGTTGTATACTCTACTTATCTTTTTATCATTCATAAATAGAAACAAAGACCGTGAACACCATTTCCATTGTGTTTCAAAACTGTTTTAGAAACATATATGTTTACAGTCAAAATACATCTTCATTCCAAAATTCATTAAGGGCAAGTAACTTTTCTTCTGGACAAGTAAAATTTACACTTTCACTTGCCCAGGGACAAGTGGTCACAACAAACATTTCCACACCCTTGAAGAAACTATATTTCAATATTTTAAAACGATTGAACAAAGTGTTCTCAAGTTATCGCACAAAATCAACCTAAAGTCCAATTTCCAATCAATCAATGAACATAACTCCTGAACAGCAAAAGTGATAAACTGCTTCGCTGAGCGCAGCTGGATACGCCCGCAGAGGTCCAACCCTGAACAGTTGGGGAAAAAATGGACACAATATTCATGCTTGATACAGGTCTGAATTTGGATTGTAATTAAATATTTGACATATTATAGGTTTCTGAATAAATGTAGTCAAAGAACTTGAAATCGGTTATATGAATTTAATTTATATTCAATTAAAGATTTCTTGCTGTTGTGCAATACACTACTGTGCTGTTGCACAATGCTTAGTAAATCTGTTGTCAGACTATAAACAAATAAAATCTTATAACTCGGAAACCTAAATTCAAAAATTTATAAAAATCAAAAGAGAGCTTACAAAAATAGATATAAACAATTTACCAAAGTTTCATAAAAAATGCTGAAAGCATTTTTGAGGTATTGTCCGAAACTGAAAAATCCCCCTTTTTGAAATGAATAAAACCCCATAAATCTGAAACGGTAAATCTAAAATTTATAAAAACGAAAGGGAGCTCACGTCAATAGATATAAACAATTCACAAAAGTTTCATGCATATAGGTAAAAAAAAAAAAAAAAAGCGTTTTTGAATTAATGTTGGACATGTTGACGACGGACGGATGGACAGACAGACGGACGAACAGACGGACGAACAGACGGTCAAAGGTATACCATAATACGTCCCGTAAACAGGCGTATAAAAATTGTTAATATCTAACTTGATTCCATTTTTGTCATCAGTTTATACAACATATTAAAAGAAAACAATTGGTTGAAAGGTACTAAATTGGGCAGAAACTACATAAAGTGCCATTTCCTGATCATTCAAGGACAATAACTCCAGAATGGCAAAAGTAATAATGGTCAACATTACAGTTGACCTCCATTTTATCATCTTTTACAACATCTTAAAATTTGAGACAATTGCAACTTACAATTTGTTCTTATGTTGTGCTGTTACATCACTGTCCCAGGTTAGGGGGAGGGGTTTTGTGTTCGCAAACATGTTTAACAACACCACATTCTCTATGTGCCTATCCCAAGTCAGGAGCCAGTAGTACAATTATGTCATATTTGTTTTTCATAATATTTTTTTTTATAAATTAGGCTGTTAGTTGTTTTTGTTTCATATTTTACCTATCAGGGTCTTTTATAGCCAACTATACGGTATGTGTTTTTCTCATTGTTGAAGAACATACGTGGCCTATAATTGCTTACTACCACTTCATTTTAACTCTGGTGGCTAGTTGTCTCATTAGCAATCAAACCACATCTATTTTTATATTGAAAAGCATTGGTTGAGCAGTTTTCAAGTTATTGCTCTAAAAACAACTGCTATACTAACAAAAATTTACAACTTAATATTTCCATCATTAAACCAAATTAAAAATTAAAATAGACCTTCATTTTATGGGAAAAAAGACAAATGGTGGAAAAATTTACATAATTTATATCTGTGTAATATTTGTTAAGTCTGTTAAATTAGATTTCAAAAGCATGTAAGTCAATCTTAGTTTAAATGTGTCTTTGGACAAACAGGCTAAGCTAGCACGATATCTTCAAACTATCCTCTGACATCTTTCAATGTGATACAACAATAAATCAATATTCAAGTATTGCAGAACAATTCCATGATGAACTTATTTATTTCAATATTAGAAGCTGCATCAAGTCAATACATATAAACATCTAAAGACTTGATGGTTTACATATTAATTTTTCATATTTATATATTAACAACAAAATAGAAATAAACAAAAAATATAAACAACAAGCACTAATAACTGTAAATGCCATCCAATAAAAAGATGGTGACACATTTTTCATTTAGTTGATCTAAATTTGAAGAAATATTCTAAACATTTCACCTATTTATACATTTTTACAAACAAAAACAAAAATTTTGATATGGTTAATGTATTTACATGTAAAGCTGCACCATACAACTATCACAGACTTACATGACAGTAGTAAAGGGTTAATTTCATTTAACATGTTTGCCAGTTTTTTTTTTCAAGTATTCTTGCTTATAGGCTACAATTCAAAGTTTTTCATATATTTACAACTAAAGCCTGAAAATTATTTTGATTGTGAAATCCCCTTTTTATTTCACATTCTACCTTACACTTGCTCCCTTAGAATCCTCTTAAATGGCTGATGTGGATATCTCCCATAAAGATTTAAATGTTAATTATGGGTTCATATAGTACTTATGTAAAACATTTCATTTTCAGTTAAAAAGATAATCAATCCCTGCTTAATTGCAGCCTTATATTACCATAGTCAGTGGTTTTTTACTTATTATTTAGATTAATATCAGGTCAATCTAGGAACTGAAGAGGAAAGTTTCTTACATACCGTACATGCCATAACAGAACCACAAATGTCATAGCCGTATATAAAAGACATATGTATTACACATATGTATTACACATAAAGTAATATGGTACACTCTTGCTAAAGAACTTCTGGTTATATAATTGCCCAGTTAATTTCAATTCATTTAAACTTCAAATTTCATAATTTAACAAATAATATTAACATATAATATCTGGTTAAATATAAATGAAAAATGACAAACAGAATACTGTTAATTCAGAAATTTTGCATGCATGATGCACCTACTATTACGATTATTTCTTAATAGAAATAAACAAGGATGCAAGATAAATCATTGCTATTTCTGGAAATTAGGCAAACAAACAAAGCTATCAAAATATAAAATGAAATTTTGTATTTTTGAGAAAACTTTCTGGTTGCAATTTTTGCAATAATAAAAACATTGCGAAAATTTCAAAATTTACTGTATTATATGGTTGCCTTACATGAAAGGTATGTTATACTCAAATTACATACTTTAGCATTGTTAACTGTTCATATAAAAATAAATTAATGCCTATGCAGGATCAGTTTATAACAACCGTAGAAAGATGTTAAGGGTTTACTCAAGAAGCAGTTTGCATGAAAATGATTAATCTTCATCATAAAAGAATTTGAAAGTGAATAAGGGCATTCCATAAGAAATTTTTAAGGAATGAAAAATAAAAATTGGATTTGTAATAAAAAACTTTAATTTGGGTTTTAGTTAGTAGGAGCCATATCTGTTGACAGAATCTTGTCATTCATTTTTCTAAGGAATGCAATGGACACACATTTACCAATAAAAAAAAAAAACTCTTTCAGGACATGCTCTATGCTCATTTAAAATTGGTAGTCATTATTTTTGTCAATATCTTTTATTCCAAGCTGTAGCAAATCATGCCAAATCATATCAAAATGATCATACATGCATGTAATGAAAGAATTTTTTCAATTTTATCAGGAAAATTCTGAAATTTTTTCATACAAAACATCCCCTTTACATGTTCTGATATTTTTAATTGATGCAGCAAAAACAATTAAGAAAACAAGTGTTTCAACAGATACATTTAGACTTTCTTTTTTAAAGATATTGAATTTCATAGCAAGCAACTCCCACAGTCAGGTCCATTTCTATTTGCAGCATTGTTAAAAATACAATTAACATTGAAAATTACAAAAATATTCAGTACATTCAACATCAAAATAATTGAAAACATTATTTTTACCCTTTGACTTCACAAAAATCGGGAAAATTAATCACACAACCATGTCTTAATACTATCAGTATTTTCTATTCTCATATAAATGTCCGAAATATATTTGTACATTAATATTCAACAATCGCAATAATAAATGTTTAAGATATTGATGTGAAGTTATAATCATTTTTTATTTGAAATTTCAAATTTCAAATAATCCATAACATACAACTAACAAGTATACAAATTTTAGTTTTTCAAGAATAAAATTTAATACAGCAATCAAATAAACAACTTTGAAAATTATCTATTGAAGAATTTTAAAAGCAATAAAAACGCCCAAATGCCATAAGAAGAATATTGAATTTTAAAATCATTTACCTTTCCTCTGACATCACTACTGTGGCATCAAAGAAGAACATGTGCTTCATGGTATTATGAACTAAGTTTTCAGCCATTTAATTCCCTTCACACTATATCGGTTTGCCTTGATTTAATGCAATATAAATTGGATGCAAAAGTTTTAAATAATATGAATGCTAGTGACATAGCACATTTTGCATGAAGCCTAGTCCAAATAATAATGACGTCTTGAAAGGCTATTTTGGTTATTTGCTGTGAAGCCTTTCTATGACATTAAAACGTCATAAACAGCTTATCAAGACGTCACGAAGCCTAGAAGAGCTTCTTCTTTAAAAAACATAAAAAAAATTTAGTACATCTTGAAGCAAGAAGCAAGTCCAGGCTTTCGAGGGTTCATAGAAAATGTGATATGTCACCTGCTGTCTTATCTCTTAAAAGTTACAAAATTGGCTAATTGTTATAAACAAAAGGTGATGGGGTATGATTGCCAGTGAAACAACTATCCACCCGAGTCCAAATGATGTGGATACTATTTACAGTAAATATTATATGAACTAATAAAACATAAATAAAAAAAAAGGATAATGAAAGATAATCAATAATATTGATGGTGGCACATGCCTTTAATTAGTAACGTGTTTTCACATGATATGAAAGTCTACGACAACACTCAATGGTATATATTGTTGCCAATAGAAAGACAGAGATTATGTTAAATGGATACCTACTTTAAATATTTTAGACTGACATTGGATTCTAAGCTTCTAAATGTATTTGATTATCTGTTACTTAATCAAAGTAAAGCATTCACTTTTTCTGTTCAGTATTTGTTGTAATCTTTAATGGACTGTGAATATGCAAGAATATGCCAGTGGAGGTTTGACATTTAAAAAATCATTCTTAATTGAATACTCTATAGCACGATAATAGGAATCAACTAAATGGTTTCAAATAGTCACTGTATGGTGCATTCTTGGCTATTTTTATTGTTGGATGGCTGTCTTATTGATGTATACCCTTTATCTCATTTTATTCATTTGTAAAAAGAAAAACAATAAAAAAATAATTTTGCATACCTTTCTATTTATATTTAGTTGGGTGGTATTCAAGTAAGATAAAATTGTTATCTAGTTAGTCAGCAAAACGAAACGGTACAATAATTCAACCTTTTACCTACATGGATATCAAATAATGACTATACAGAGTAAAATGACATGTCAACTACAACTTATGTTTATAAATGTGATAATTTCAATTAAAAAGATTTCTGACAGCCGTAAGAACTGCTATTACAAAACTTGGTGCAATTTCAGAAAAGACGTGTTTTGCTAAAAACTCAATAAAGTCTTTTTGGATGTCTATTTTATAGAAAAAGGAACAAGATATATATATATATCTAAAACAGTTGAATGTCTGTAATCAATATGTGAAGAAAACATGTCACCTTTTGTTTGATATGCAAACTGTTATTATTTTATATATGATATAGAACAATAAAATTATATTCTTCAATAAAAAATAAATATAAATAGTGAAAAACCCATTCCCACATATTTGACTAGAGTGAGGTGATCTTGGGAAGATAGATGGTGACCATTAAATCATTGCAAACCAAACATTATTCTATTTTATGTTCGATGATGCTTAAATATTAAAAAAAAAATGAAAGTGGTAGTTTTAACTAGACATCATTGAGATGGGAGCCATCTCTATGGGCCCAGCTGTAAATAACATGTGGTAAAAAATTTGCATGGATAAGCTGATATGAAACACTTTTTTAAGTTATACCCTCTAGTGTTGGTCAATATACCTGTCAAGTATAAACTTTGAAATCATAACGGTTCTCAAGATATAGAGCAGACATGAACTGTACCATAGGACAAGGGGTTGTCAACTAAAACCAAAGTTTTTGACCTTCACATTTGACCTAGGAAGTTGTACATACATTATGACACACCCTCTGGTGTTGGTTAATATACATGTCAAGTATAAACTTTGAAATCATGACGGTTCTCGATATACAGAGTGGACACAATCTGTATCATAGGACATGGGGTTGTCAACTGAAACCAAAGTTTTTGACCTTGACCTTTGACCTAGGAAGTTGTACATACATTATGACACACCCTCTGGTGTTGGTTAATATACATGTCAAGTATAAACTCTGAAATCATATTGGTTCTCTAGATAAAGAGCGGACACAGTTTGTTACAGAAGGACGGACAGACAGATTGATCACTATAGGGCAACCCGCCACTAGAGTTAGATATATTGGTATAAATATTAAAATGCCTTAAATGGATAATTATTCTAAATTGATATCTGTAGACAAATCAATAGTTTTGTCAATTGCTGCAAGCTAGATTTAAAAATATATTTGTCATAACTTCTGGCTTCTTCTTAAAAAATATTTCTCTTACATGTGCTTAATTTTGTAATCTATTTGATGCTTTGAAAAATCACAAAAAATGAAGTCACACAATAAGTAGTTGATAAATCATTATCATTTCTACATCCAATATTTGAAAACAAAAACAATTTTAACTCTCTTGTACGATACACATCAATGTGATGTTAATTAAATCAAATTATTATTTCAGAAATATATGGCTTCAGCTTCATGGCATCTCAATTGAGCACCAGCACATTTATAAAGCATTGAATACTATCTATTTCCAAAAATAAACCTGTAAAATTGTTATAAAAGTGTCACCAGACTTCAACAATGAAGTCATTTATGGAAAAAAATCTTCACATGGATTTTAGGACACTTCCTCATAGAAAGTAAATAATAAAAGACAAGTTTTCTGAAATCTGACACAATAATAATTTCTGACATAATTATATGCAAGAATTCTGAGACTTGAAACAGATACAAAATCTACAATAAATTAAAATACATTAACAGCATTTACATATAATACATTAACATCATTTACATATAATACATTAACATCATGTACATATCATACAAAACCGATCTGCTATGATGTATCCATTTCTTTGTCTTCATCGGTTTTGGTCTGTGCAGAAGAACCTGATTTGGTACCATCTTTCTCAAGCTTTGTTTCTGGAATTAGTTTGTTATTTTGTGTCATTGGATCTGGTTGGCATTTACTTTCATCAATTTTTAGTTCAATTTCTTGCTGATCAGAAGAGTAACATACAGACTCATCTTGCCCATCACTGGTAATAGTTTCAGGTTTTTCAGTGTCAACTGAAAGAGACACAGGACAACCTGAATTTTCTTCCATTTTGTCAACTGTCTTTTTGCCTTTTACTTGCTGACTCAAAGAAGCAGCAGCAGACGAACTGTCAATTTTGATGACATCACAGAGTTCTTTGTCTGACCTCTTCAAACCAGTATCAGAACATTCCATATTGACCTCCATTTTATCACTATTTGTGGAATTTATGGCACAACTATTACCTTCTGATATTGCAATTCTAGGATTGTCTTTCTCAGCTTCAGATTCAAACACTGTGTCAGACATAGAAGATATTGACGGAACATGAGACAACATATCACTACTACATACACTAGACTTCATTCTTTCTTCACTATCTATTCTCTCCATCTGAAACAAATAAAAAACCACGTCTAATAGACAATTCAGATTATAGAAGACAATTCTGTAGATTTAACTATTTTTGTAATTTCACAGGCCAAATAATGGCTCTTATAATACCTACTTCATTCTGTATAGTAAAAGATTAGCAAGCCTTCTGTTTTAAAATGAAATAAATGTGGATACACAGATGATGCCCCCGCTTGCAATATCATATAGTTATAAAGGGACATAACTGAAGAACAGTAAAAGTGACGCTACCAAGATTTGAACTTGATCTGAGTTTTGTGGTAATAAGCATTGTGTGTAAGTCTCATAACATTTGGTTGAGGCTAACTTTAGAGAACAGAAACTAAAAATTCAGCAATTTTTCTATTGGTAACCACGCATAACTCTAGAACGGTTGTGTATAAGTTTAATAACATTTGGTTGAGACAAACTAAAGTTAGAGAACGGAAACGAAAAATTCAGCAATTTTTATGTTTATAAAGGGACATAACTCAAGAATGATAAAAGTGTTGCCACCAAATTTCGTACTTAATCTGTATTATGAAGTTATAAGCATTGTGTATAAGTTTCATAACATTTGGTTGAGGCAAACTAAAGTTAGAAAACGGAAACAAAAAATTTGTACTTGATCTTAGTTTTGTGGTAATGAATATTGTGTAAAGGTTTCATAATGTTTGGTTGGGGCAAACTTAAGTTACAGAATGATCTGTGTTTTATCAGTGGAAGTCAAAATTAAACATTGCATTGTATAAAGCATTAATTGTAGTTGATTCAACTATAATCATGGACAAAGGAAGATAACTTTCATAACATTTGGTTGAGGCAAACTTAAGTTAGAAAACAGAAACTAAAAATTTTGCAATTTTTCCATTTATAAAGGGGCATAACTCTAGAACGGTTAAAGTGATGCCACCAAAATTCAAACTTGATCTGTGTTTTGTGGTTATAAGCATTGTGTATAAGTTTCATAACATTTGGTTGAGGCAAACTCAAGTTAAAACTTAATGCACCAACCGCTACAGCGGGGGCATAAAAATTGTTTTGTCTGGATGCAGAATCTACATTAAACAATACCTCTTTGTTAATATCAGCTATATCTTCATTCATTGTCTCTTCAATACTTTGGGCCAGGTCTTTAAACAATTGTAAGTTCTCATTTGATTGATTAACATTTTCTGAACTAATAACACTATATCCTGGTCCAAGTTTCTGGTACTCTTGTGACTGCTCAGAAGGTGCATCTTCAAGTATTTCTTCTGATTCTTCACAAATGGATTCCTCATGTCTATCAGGATCACAAAGGTTCTATGATAAATAAAACAAAATAGATATAAAACCTATATTAATAAAATGCTCCGCTGGGGCGCAGCTTGATACGACCGCAGAGGTCGAACCCTGAACAGTTGGGGCAAGTATGGACACAACATTCAAGCTTGATACAGCACTGAATTTGGATTGTAATTAAATATTTGACACAGCATAGGTTTCTGACACAGAATGAATGTGGTCTAAGAACTTAAAAATTTTTAATTTACCTATTCAAACCATATTATTATTTGCTTTTATATATATAAATCAGAAATAACCAATTTAAAATGGAAAATTTTAAAGAAAAAAAAAATCCCTCCCCCAAATTTTTTGAACCCCCTTATGATTCATCACTCCCAGCCTTCCCTTTGTGGTATGGTACCTTGCAGTACAATTTCAGAGAGATCCATACACTTGAACACAAGTTATTGTCTGGAAACTAGAAAATGCTTGTTTTTAGGCCCCTTTTTGGTCCCAAATTCCTAAACGTTTAGGGCAATTACCCCCAAACTCAAACCCAGCTTACCCTTTGTGATATGGAACCTTGTAGTACAATTTCATAAAGATCCATACACTTACACACAAGTTATTATCCTGAAACTAGAAAAATGCTTGTTTTTTGCCCCTTTTTGGCCCCTTATTCCTAAAATTCTGAGGCAATTACCCCCAAAATCAATCCCAGCCTTCCCTTTGTGGTATGGTACCTTGCAGTACATTTTCAGAGAGATCCATACACTTGAACACAAGTTATTGTCTGGAAACTAGAAAAATGCTTATTTTTGGCCCCTTTTTGGCCCATTATTCCTAAACGTTTAGGGCAATTACCCCAAACTCAATTCCAGCTTTCCCTATGTGATATGGAACCTTGTAGTACAATTTCAGAAAGATCCATACACTTACACACAAGTTATTATCATGAAACTAGAAAATTGCTTGTTTTTGCCCCTTTTTTGGCCCCCGATTCCTAAAATTTTGAGGCAATTACCCCCAAAATCAATCCCAGCATTCCCTTTGTGATATGGAACCTTGTGGTACAATGTCAGAGAGATCCATACACTAACACACAAGTTATGTCTGGAAGTTACAAAATTGCTTATTTTTGGCCCCTTTTTGGCCCCTAATTCCTTAACTGTTGGTCCCATAACCCCCAAAATCAATCCTTACCTTCCTTTTTTGGTATTGAACCTTATGGTAAAATTTCATAGAGATCCATTCACTTAAACTAAAGTTAGAGTGCGAAAACCAATGTGTCTTCGGACGACGACGACAACGACACCGGACGACGACAACGACGACGACGCCAACGTCATACCAATATACGACCAAAAAAATTTTAATTTTTGCGGTCGTATAAAAAGCATTGGTATTATATACAATTAAACCTATATTTAGCAGTCACTAATAGGAAGCATTAAAAATGACTGCTCAAGAGAGGTGACCTTATAAAAGAGGTTCCGAAAAATTTGGATTCCCACAACACCTGTGCCAGGGATCACAGCAATTTATTTGAGTGTTTTCAATTGGTAGAGTTATTGTTCTTGGAACAGTGAAATAAAAAATGGCGGATTCTAACAATGTAAATTGGAAGAAAACTTTCAATATATGTAAATATTCGTGGAGAAATAAGTCGGTGATTATACTTTCAATGGATACTGAAAGGAGTAGAACACGAGGAATTCACGAATTTCCTCCTATTGCACGATCTCGGTTACAAATGGGTTCCATTTCCTATTTTGACTTTGTTACTGGACACATATATTATTTGGTTGTGGTTATACATATGTAGGTAGTTAAAAACATTAAAATGACCATTATTAGAAGTTGATATGATGATTTCATGTAAAAGTTAAAGAACGATTGTAAGTATGCTCACATACCCCACGCCACAACATTGTCACTGGGCAAACAAAATCTCACCATATTTCTAAGTTCAAAGATTCATAAATTCTAAAATAGTCAACTGATAAAAATTTCTTGTGATATGCATATCTACATAGTATGTCCTTATTATCTACAAAGTTTCATGAAATTCTGTTGTAAGGTTACAGCGGAGTTGCAATGACAAGAACAGGACTGATGGACTGGCGGGTAAAAATATTATACCAACTTATTTGTGTGGTGTATAATTAGGTGACTGCTGACTGCATAAGACAGGAAACAGCTGAAAAGAGTTAAATTATATAGAGAAAACGTTTGGGTGGGTCAGACAGTGACTGTAAGAGATGGGTGACCATTGAAACAAGGTAACCATTAAGGCAGGTTTGACTCTAGTTTGTTAATCAATCAGTGGTGACTTTTCAGACTTAAGAGATTCACTCATTTTTCCTTAATTTACTCTAAGACTGGGGTAATTGCAGTACATGTATAGATTGAGAGTGCATACTTTTAGGTCCTTGAAATCCTTCCTGAGAGAAGTTGAGAATTTTTATTCTTCTTGCTTAACTGAATTATAACATTCTTCTTATTCACTTACATAAGAAAAGTAATACCGGGTAGTAAAACTACTCTTTTGTTTCCTAAACTGGTTTACAATTTTACTCTACCTGAAGTTTTCGGACTTGGTGATGATGATGGTGGCCTACTGGTTCTGGCAGATCTCCAGGCATTTTTTCTATTTCAGCTGGCCTCAAAGAATGACCCTGACCTGCAAATGCTTGCATTCTTGGACTGTGTCTACCAACTGCTCCACTACTACCAAATCTGGCTTCTGTCAATTTTCCTGAAGCCACCATTTCTTTAACCTTTTCTTCAATTCTTGGTTCCACTTGGAAATGACCATGTGGTTCTAAACAGAGTTCTAATCTGTCGTCATGGGCATTATACCTAAAAACCTGAAAAATTCAACATATTACCAATATAACTGCATCTTGGCAAAACTCCTTCAACTTTACAATCCAAGTTGATTCCTTATAAATTCAAATCAACATGTAAGACAAACATGACAATTAAGAACATGTTATGGTTTATCTATGGAAACATGTATTCTCTTTTAACACTGACCTTGACAAATATGAAATCAACATCTGCAATACATTTAGTTTGCCACTTTTAATGTCAAAAATACTCCTCTTTGCAAATAAACTCATCATAGATACCAGGATTGAAATTTTGTATTTGCGCCAGCATATTTCGTAAAAAATACATGAACATAATGAGGCCTCTATAACAGGGCTTCCAAAATTTCCCGACGACAGCCGGACATTTTTCAAAGAAATATTTTGACGGTCAATGATCAGCTGGATACTTAAATGTAACTGAGAGGATGCATAAATTGATATATGTGTCTAAATAATTAGTAGTGTTATATGCAATAAAATTATTTATAACTGTTTTGTTTTCTTCATTCTAAAAATAAATAAAATATTATCCTCGGTATTGTGTCATTTTTCTGTGTATCATAATACAGTAACCATCATTGCATCAATCAGCTTCAGTACCTGACTGTTCTCATGTTTTTGTTTCTGTTTATATAATATATCTTCTCTCTGTGAGTACTTAACACTTTGTAAATTAAGGGTATCTTATTTGAAACTGTTGATGTTGGCTTTAATTGCAGTACAATTCAACTTGATCATCAAAACATGTGATACTTTTCTTTTTGTGTATTGATTACCTGACCACGTGACTTTTACAACTGATGCGGTATTAATAGATAACATTGAGGAGGCCCAATGAAGGATATTGTTTTAAACCGTGTAAAATCTACTGAACAGTAATAACATTTTTATTTGTACAATTTCCCAACCTGATTTAGAAAATAAGAAGAATAAATAAATACATACTCAGTTGATAAATAATTTAAACTAATTTTCAGTTCACCAGCTTTGAGGTATGATAAGTACAAAATTAAATGTTTTTGCGTAGCCAGATCAGTTGATTCCCACGGCGGGACTTAACTTTACGTCGGACATCACCTCTTTCTCTATAATATCGGAAATTGTCTGAATAAATTCGGAGCAGGCATTGTTCTCTTGATGTAATTTAGAAGTGATCACGGCACCATTTAACTTAGTTAAATCATTTATTGACTGAAATTTGTCCATTGGTAAATTTTATTCAGCAATAAAGTAAGCATTACGGAACAAGGTGCACATTGCGTTGTCAGTCTTTTCATGAACTTTCTCAAATACTGATACAATTGGATTACTTTTGGAAGCTGTCTCTTATTTAAGAGCTTGGACGTGGTCATTGCTATTAGCATGCTCTACAACGGCTGACTTTCGAAAAGTTATTTTTAAGTTTATGTTTTTGACAAATGTCACAAAACATGGCATTTAGCATACTGTCAAATCTTAAGCATAAAAACAGTTGTAACCATTTATGAATTAAGCTTCTAGCATTTTTAGCAGATTTCGAATTTTAATCGGAATCGTCACATTTTCGTTTGCCCATGATGGCAGATTTGTAAAGTTCAATTTGAGACAAAGTTTTTATAACAGTCGGAGATTGTCATGATTGGATATTCTTCTTTATGATTTCAATTATAAAAACAGTTTTTAATATGAAAACAAGAATAGAGAACGCCCCACCCTTATTTATTAGACAACTCAGCTATTCTCGGTGTTTTTCCTATATATTTCAATAAATTTTCCCCTTTAGAGTACCCCAGTATTTAACACGATGTACAGTGTTAAATAAAATAATATATATCATACTTATTCATTTATAAATATCCTTATTTGAAGAATAACTTTTAAATATCAGGATACTTTTTTAAACTGAATGCTCATTTAAAATAATATCTATAAAGCGTAATTAAATAGGATGTTGTTCCATACACGCTTACATGTTTGACCTCGTTTACCTGATCACCTTTATGTACAGTGTTATGCATCATTAATTCTATTGATAAAGACAAGCTAAGGACACCTCATCAAAGGTTACAAACCTGTAATCAGTGAATGATTTATGGCTTCAATATAACTTATTGAAGGGATAATTGTTTGACAGCTTGTTGTTATTTAAATAAAAGAAAACGTGTTTTTTCTACTTTTTATTGATGTACACAAGCTAAAGACCAAGCGGTACATTTATGTACCCAGAGGATTAGACTAACTGAGACACTTCAAAGTATCTGAAATATGCTGCATCTGTTTTATTAAACCCAATTATGACCGAAATATCTTTGTGAAATAGATTGCCACAATTATAAACTAAAATGCTCAAACGGACATGCCCAAAGCCCCAAACGGACATTTTTATCGATCGATAGTTGGTAAAAATTGAAATGACCGTTTTATGAAAATGCCTTGAACAACAAAAAGTGGCAAACCAATTCTATTTGACCGTTTGAGGCTGAGAGCAGCCGGACTTTTTATGAGTTTCGGTCAAGTCCGGAATATATGACTGTTTTGGAAGCCCTGCTCTATAACAATAACAATTACTACTTATAATTTTTTTTATTGTGACTGCTAAATTTGATGACTGAATGTCTAAGGTTTCTTTATCAGTTATTCATATTTAAATTATTTGTCTAATGTTTTAAAACCAACCTTTCCTGGTAAAGCAGGCAGCTGACAATGTTTACCATCAACAAGACCCAAATCTCTTTCCATCTGTTTATAAAACAGACCTCCTACCGAGAAAAGGTGTGGCATAGTTTGAACATATGTCCAAAGGTCACGGCCAGTAACAGTGGACATGATTGCAAGACTAGCTATAGAGGAATCCAGACTATCACTTGCTAAAAAAGAAAAGAATTATGCTAGATCATGTCATTAAATAAATGGTCAATCCTGAGGATGTGCAAAGTTTTAATCCTTGCTTGACCTTAAGTTGAAAGACCAACTAGCAACTCACCTAACTCCAAAAAATCTAAAAACAATTTGCACCTGTGACATCATCTATGCTTATACAAACATCATTTGTTTTCACAAAGACAAGACTCACATAATAGCAATGAAATATCAAGTTTGAAATGAATTCAGAAAGTAATGTGCTATCTTTAATAATGGATAAATATTTACTACTGGATATAAATTAAATGTACTTTTCATTACCACTTTTTGCTTCTATCAGATTAAGTACAGAAATTGAATATAAAAACTTTCCTGGGACACTCATTAAGTTTTTTTTTCTCTATTCGTCAATGTACTGCATCAACTCATAGCAACCTCCTTTTTTTTCTGTTTACGGTCACAAAATCCAAACTCAATAACATGTTCTAGTTCTTATATTGAAGTTACATGCAAATAAACTGCTTCGCTGAGCGCAGCTAGATACGCCCGCAGAGGTCCAACCCTGAACAGTTGGGGCAAAAATGGACACAATATTCAAGCTTGATTCAGGTCTGAATTTGGATTGTAATTAAATATTTGACATATTATAGGTTTCTGAATAAATGTAGTCAAAGAACTTGAAATTGGTTATATGAATTGAATTTATATTCAATTAAAGATTTCTTGCTGTTGTGCAATACTTAGTAAATCTGTTGTCAGACTATAAACAAATAAAGTTCAATTAATTCTCAATGTCATATTAGAAATTTATGAAAATAAAAAGGGAGCTTACGTCAATAGATATAAACAATTCACCAAAGTTTCACGAGAATTGGTGACAGCATTTTTGAGTTATTGTCCAATAACTGAAAAATCACCCCTTTTTTTAATGAATAAAACCCCATAACTCAGAAATGTAAAATGTAAAATTTATAAAATTCTAAAGGGAGCTTACATCAATACATACAAACAATTCACCAAAGTTTCATAAGAATTGCTGAAAGCATTTTTGAGTTTTTGTCCGAAAACTGGAAAATCCCCCCTTTTTTATGAATAAAACCCTGTAACTCTGAAACGTTAAATCTAAAATTATTAAAAATCGAAAGGGAGGTCATGTCAATAGATATAAACAATTCACCACAATTTCTTGCAAGTTGGTGAAAACATTCTTGACTTATTGTCTGAAAACTGGAAAATCCCCCTTTTTTTAATGAATAAAAACCCCATAACTCAGAAATGTAAAATCTAAATTTTATAAAAAACAAAAGGGAGCTCACGTCAATAGATATAAACAATTCACCAAAGTTTTATGCAAATTGGTTAAAGCATTTTTGAGTCAATGTCCGACATGTTGACGATGGACAGACGGACAACGGTATACCATAATACGTCCCGTAAACAGGCGTATAAAAACTATACTGATGTCAATTGTTTTATAATCAATTTGTCAAAATATGTAAGAATGCAGTATATTTCTTGGCTGAAAGTCCATCAAAATGCAGAATGAATCCTATCTAAATATGTTTACCTCCTTCAGTTGCTTTCAATGCCCTCAACAATGCCTCTTCAGTACTGCCATGAGCATCTTCCTCAAAACTGCTCCAAGCCCCAAAACTTCTGTGAGCACTAGGTACTTCACTGACTTTCGTATAATCTTTTGTAGAAGCTTTACGATCAATTTCCATGGGAACTGATTTGTCAGGCAATATTTCAACACTTATTTTGTCACCGTGAAGTAAAGGAATGATTTCCCCTGTATTTTCAGGTTGTTTTAATTCTTTCGGTGGGAATCCTGTTCTGAGTCTCTGTCGTACTGGAGAAACACTAACTTGCTCAGCTATAAGATTTTTTAGCTGGTCATAAGTAACTTCTTCTGGTAAAGTTAACATCATCTGCAAGTAAATACATCAAACTGTAAATCAAATTTTAAATTATATAATTTACTTCATATTAAAATAATGAACTTTCTAATATATTCTAGGTTGACTGGTCTAGTGCATTGAAGTAGAAAAATTAAATGCTCCACTGGGGGCAGCTTGATACGACCGCACAGGTCAAACCCTGAACAGTTGGGGCAAGTATGGACACTACATTCAAGCTTGATACAGCTCTGGATTTGGATTGTGATTAAATATTTGACACAGCATAGGTTCCTGACAAAGAATGAATGTGGTCAAAGAGCTGAAAATTTTGAAATTGGACTTTTACCTATTATAGTCCAATATCCAAAATCTAAATACACGCTTAAATTCAGCATATCAAAAAAAAACATTTATTAAGTTTTTGTTGAAATCATAGAAAGTTTAATTCTGGACACCGATTTAGACCAACTTGAAAACTTGGACCAAAGTTTAATTTTGGACCATTTTGGCCTTAATGTGGACCAATTTTAAAGAGGGCTCCAAAATTTAAAATGGTTGAAATCAGCCTATCAAAGAACTCCAAAAATTTAATTTTTGAAGAAATCGAACAAAATTTAATTTTGGACCCTTTGGACCTTAATGTGGACCAATTTGAAAACAGGTACCAAAATTAAAAATCTAAATACACAGTTAGTTTCAGCATATCAAAGAACACCAATAATTCAAATTTTGATGAAATCAAATAAGTTTAATTTTGGACCCTTTGGACCTTAATATGGATCAATTCAAAAACAGGGCCTTAAATCCAAATTCTATAAATTACTGGTTAGATTCCGCATATTAAAGAACCCCAAGAATTCAAGACTTTGAATTAAACCTCATTGAAATTGGTCAAGAAATAAGTAATTTATACAAAGTATTACAAGAGTATTGTTTTTGGCCCCTCTTTTCCTAAACCGTTAGGGTCATCACTCCTCAAATCAATCCCAACCTTCCTTTTATTGTATAACACCTTGTGGCACAATTAAATAGCAATCCATAGACTTATACTCAAGTTACTGTCTGGAAACCAGAAAATCCTAGTTTTTGGCCCTTTTTCTGCCCCTAATTCCTAAACTGTTTGGGCCATGATCCACAAAATTCATCCCAACCTTCCTATTGTAGTATGGAACATGTGCTAAAACTTCATAGCGATCCATACACTTATACTCAAGTTATTATCTGTGAACCAGAAAAATAATTGTTTTTGTTGGCCCCTTTTTGGCCCAAAATTCCTAAACAGCTACGACAATAACCCCCAAAATAAATCCTAACCTTCCTATCATATTATGGAACCTTGTGGTAAAATTTCATAGAGATTCATACACTTATCCTCAAGTCATTGTCTGCGAATCAATTTATTGTCTATGAACCAGTGAAAATGCTTGTTTTTGGACCCTTTTTGGCCCTTGATTACAATACCCCCAAAAACAATCCTAACCTTCCTTTAGTGGTATGGAACCTTGTGCTAAAATTTCATAGAGATCCATACATTTATACTCGTTAATGTCTGCGAACCAAAATGTCTTCGGATGCCGACGCTGACATCGCCATAGCATAATACAAACGCAAAAATTTGTTGTCGTATAACAACATATGACCAAAGCAAAGTTTCTGCTTCACAACCTGAATCAGTTCTATCTTATGAATATGTTGTATTAAAATATAGCGAGAAAGTAAGCATTCTGAATTTTTCCATTTTTTCTGAGGATATAGTTCACGTTATAAATTTTTAAAAGCAAATTGTTAAAAGAATATAATTACTGCATATGGTTTAAAGAAAATAGGTTCACTTTCATTTTAGTTGAACTTGATTGTTGTATTGTAAATTTTGTCAAATTTCATGAGGATTAGTTGATAGAAAAACTTTAAACACATAATAATAGGTGTCCAGAAGAGAAAGATGATAACACACCTATTAATTGCAGTCGTATCAAATTAAACAGAATGAAAATCTTACATTATGTATTATCTTACCTGTCTGCCATCGGATGTGGCTATCTTTACTTTTTTCTCACCAGTGTGCCGCGGTGAACTTAGCTTTGATGATGTCTTGGTGATATCTGTGCTTGTGGTTGTTTTTGATTGCATACCTGAGTCTAATGACTTGGACTGTAAAATCAAGATCAATAAACATTAAGTTTAATGATTGATAGATTGATTGATTATTGGTTGCTTAAGGTCCAGTGCAAATATTTCATGCAAGAATGTTAATGCAGGTATGATTTGCCGCTTTGTAGCAAAGGGAAAGAATCATACTGATGGACCATGATCATACTACTTCCATACATAGTAGATTTCTTATTCAGGTACAACAATATACTAACATCAGATTATTTTAAATTAAAAGGTATATATACAATGCTAATATTCAGGTGTCTATGCCATGTCTGGAAGCTCGTCAATGATTGATGGTAGATGATGATGATGGATGGCTGCTTAACATCCAGCGGCAAATTAATATGCATATTCAGGACGAGAACATGTTAATGTAATATGAATATTTACTCTGCTTTGTACTGAGCTGGATTTTTAACGTGCTAGTTCACCAGGTAACAGTCTGCAGGAAGACATGTCACCTTACTGGGACACATTATTCTGACTCCGAGCCGACCAGTCTTTACTCTTACTCCTTAATGCTGCGTGTTTAGCGGAGAAACAACAAATAACAATTTTAAAGTCTTTGGTTTGACCCGGACCAGGGTTGAACCCACGACCTCCTGCACTCAGATTGATGGTAGATATATCTTAATGTTTGTGTCATTAATAAAATTTGGTGTGGATGCTAAGTTTTTGATAGTCTCTGTTAATTTTACCTACTACTTGTTTAGACAAGGGGGCAATTCAGTGGTTGACATATTGTGTAGATACTTGTCTATTGTAAAGACTGTATGCTGACCTCTAGGTGTCTTTTGTTTATTGTGCCTCATTGTGTTGCTATCTCATTGAACTACCCTCATCTCCTTTTACTCATTATGCTAAGAAATTGGGGAAAGTGTGTGAAACATTCTCCCTATTGAAATCAAATATCTATCACAAGGAACTTTTCATTTAGTTACATGTCTACTATGGAATTTTTTCTGAACAAAAATAGAAATAAGTTCTATATATATATGTTCACTTCTATGAAATCATACAACAATAGAAACTGTTGATGGGTTTGTGAATGTTACCATTGACATCAAATCTCTCACTGAATTAGAACATTGACTATATACAGACCTTTTTAGGACTAGATTTCTGTGTTGAGGTTGCTGCTACTTCTGCAGTCTTCTTTTGTTGATGTTTCTGGGCCTCAGATGTTATCCTTTTCTTAACCTGCTTTTCTTTTTCACTCTTACAAAGCTCTTCTTTATGCAATGTCTTGTGCTAAAATGAGTAAATAAATCTAAGTACACAAATAACTATATTTTTTCAATATACCTCCATGATCTAACACATAAAACATGGTACTAATGAGTTTTCTTTCTACTAAACACATTAGATCCTACAATTTTGATCATTATATTTTCAAAATTTTTAATGAACCTTTGCCTCTAACAAATTTAAACTGAATAAATGATGTCTATAAAAGTTTTTAACAAAAGCAATAACTGATAATCATATATTTTCAGTTTAAGAAAAAATGATCTACTTTGTCAAATTTCCAACATCCAAATGATTAATCATAAATTTTCAATGCTGCCAGTTCTGTTAGAACTAATTCAGATTCTGTGCACGTATGTTAAGATTAATTTCATATGATGGGTATATGGTTACTGCAGATAATTTTAGAACATATACTGCATGACCATTTAGGGTAACTTCAGATGCTGCATATACTGCATGACCAGTTAGGTTAACTTCAGATGTTGCATAAGTCCACACTGCATTAACTAGTAAGAATAATTTTAGATAATGTATATGTATTTATTACATGTCCAGTTAGGACATTTTTTAATGCTATATAAGTACTTATTGTTGGACCAATTAGGACAATTCTATATCATATACAAGTACTTACTGCATGTCCAGTAAGAATGATTTTAGATGCTGTATCTGCTGAAAAGCTTTCATCACTATATGGATTTACCACAGATTTCTCAGGATCTTTTTTCTGTCCAGCAGTACGGCGTAGAATTGTATTCACAACCTGTTGGACGAGTCGTTCACTCCCAAATTCACCTGTAATATCAATATAATTAAGTAACATGTTCTGATAAAAAGCCAACAGTTATTGTATATATCATCTCTAAAATTTGACATGAAAAGTTCAATGATTGTATGATTTGGTTTGGTAATATAAATAACAGTCATTCTGAAAATTTGTCAGATTTTCCTCACAGTCCAGTAAAATACGTTTTTGTCTGGTAATTTTTCTTATTATGTCAGACCAATTATCCTATGGAAATTGATAGCTAAATTACTGCTAAGTTGCGGTAAAAAAAAAAAAAATTGTATTAACAATACACAACACATTTCTCTGTATACAGCCTCTGATAAACAAAATACTGTTGGGACACTTTTTACTAATAGTTTTAAAATTTTATAAATGGGGAATGTGTCCCCATGGAAACAGATGATGCCCCCGCTTGCATACAATGTTATAAAGGGACATAACTCAAGAACGGTAAAAGTGACGCTACCCAAATTTGTACTTGATCTGAGTTTTGTGGTAATAAGCTTTGTGTATAAGTTTCACAACATTTGGTTGAGGCAAACTTAAGTAAGAGAATGGAAACAAAAAATTTAGCAATTTTTCCAATTTTAAAGGGGCATAACTATAGAACGATTAAAGTGATACCACAAAAATTCAAACTTGAACTGTGTTTTGTGGTAATAAGCATTGTGTATAAGTTTCATAACATTTGGTTGATCCAAGCTAAAGTTAGAGAACGGAAACGAAAAATTCAGCAATTTTTCCATTGGTAAAGGGGCACAACTCTAGAACAGTAAAAGTGACTTCACCAAAATTCAAACTTGATCTGTGTTTTGTGGTAATAAGCATTGTGTATAAGTTTCATAACATTTGGTTGAGGCAAACTAAAGTTGGAGAACTGAAACAAAAAATTCAGCAATTTTTTCAATTGTAAAGGGGCATAACTCTAGAACAGTTAAAGTGATGCCACCAATATTCAGACTTGATCTGTGTCTTGTGGTAATAAGCATTGTGTATAAGTTAAATAACATTTGGTTGAGGAAAACTAAAGTTACAGAACGGAAACCAATTTTGGGACGTACGGACGGACGTACGTACAGATGGACAAGGGTAAAACTCAATGCCCCCTCCGACACGGCGGGGGCATAAAAATCTAATTTATTGGATCCAGTAAAATCAGTCTAGGAAGTGCTTGATCTTTGCTGAATCAAAAGTCCAGTTAAACTCTGGAGGGGTTCAGATCCAATGCATTGGTTTGTTGTGCAGAATAGATATGACATTTGCAAGTTGTTCTTTTGTAAAACTTTTTTTGTATATATACATGATATATAAGGACAATCTTATTTAAATTGTTTACCTGGGAAATGTTTTTGAACTAGTTTTTGTGCTACTTCAAACACATTACTGTTTAGTGAATCATTAGATTCATACTGAAACCACATAACCTTTTCTGCCACAACCTCTCCATTCCACTCCATACTAATAGGGAATCTATAAAGAGTATAATTAAAATATCAATCAAAACAAAAGCTACACAAAGGCATAAAATTGTGTAACTTAATAATACTACAGTTGGAAGTATTTGTATGTCATCATGTGTTTATATATGCCCATGTTGTTAACAACACAACATTGAACAGATTAATATTTTCAGTGAATTTAGACTCATGGGAACAAATATAATATAAAAGATGTTAACTTACACCAATTGCAATGGATATGTCTGTATTATATCTTAAGATTTACACACTAAAATCCTCAATGTATGTGTAATATTTGCACTTTTTTTTTATTTTTGCGACACTTAAAGATGAAAACAATTGTTGTGTGTTGAGTTTTACCTTTTTATTTTTATTTCAAATTTTACTTCTGAACTTAGGACGTAAATTATCTACATTTTCACTGTATCTTGTTTATCAAATCAAAATATCAAGGTTACTGAATTGAAGCAGTAATATAGTAAAATCATATTCCCCTTATGGCTGTTCTACAAATAAGTACACTCGAGATTGTCAAAAGAAGTTTTTTATTCTACCAATTCATGCATAGTTTTTAAAATGCTAAAATCTTTAACTTCTTTTCAAAAGAATTTCCAGAATTAACCAATTCCCATCAAATCTAAATAATAACAGACTCCTCATGAAATTAGTTCTAAGCTTACATCTCTGGTAGATTGTCATATTCTCTGCCATCCCAGTAATGTTTAAAACCACATGTACATCTACCACCGGGAGCCGGGGTTGTTGTACGATCACCATTCTCATACTTTACTGTTCCATCTCCTTTTACCAGGCGTACATGAGCACTGTCAATATAAGAGGTTACTTCATTATTTAAGTATGTGCTGAAAAGTGTATATTATTACCTTAATAATACTGATTACTTATCAGTATATATCAAGAAGTATCAAGTATGTTGACAATTTGAGCTGTCACAACCTGGCTGTGAAGTATATATATTTTTGTTCATTACCATGATTACTAAAGACCTTCCAGCAATTTATCAAAATGGAGAACCCAACAGGGTTTAGGTTTGCAAATTCACATCTTTTATACAAAAATAAATATTTGGCGAAAAAAATAATCAATTGGTGAGAGATTGCCATTTTTTTACATTTGATTTCCTTTTCGAAAAAAGTTTCCAGATGTTTGGCGACAACAAAGATTTTTTGGTATATCTGGTAATAAGACTAACTTACCCCTGACAAAAGGAACAGATACTAAGTTGACTGTTTGCCATATCTGGTAATAAGACTAACTTACCCCTGACAAAAGGAACAGATACTAAGTTGACTGTTTGCCATATCTGGTAATAAGACTAACTTACCCTTGACAAAAGGAACATATACTAAGTTGACTGTTTGCCATATCTGGTAATAAGACCAACTTACCCCTGACAAAAGGAACAGATACTAAGTTGACTGTTTGCCATATCTGGTAATAAGACCAACTTACCCCTGACAAAAGGAACAGATACTAAATTGACTGTTTGCCATATCTGGTAATAAGACCAACTTACCCCTGACAAAAGGAACAGATACTAAGTTGACTGTTTGCCATATCTGGTAATAAGACTAACTTACCCCTGACAAAAGGAACAGATACTAAGTTGACTGTTTGTCATATCTGGTAATAAGACCAACTTACCCCTGACAAAAGGAACAGATACTAAGTTGACTGTTTGCCATATCTGGTAATAAGACTAACTTACCCCTGACAAAAGGAACAGATACTAAGTTGACTGTTTGCCATATCTGGTATCAGGACATCTTTTTCAGCATCATAATTACATACAACTCCTGTAAATACAAGTTTAGTGTAAATTTGTAATTTATTTTAACTAACAGTATACTAAAAGTACAGTATTTCAATGAAGTAATTTAATATGTCAACCAATCTAATCACTTGTTTCAGTATAAATATTATCAAATGCTTCAAAATTACTGTGCAGTTTTTTGTTAAAAACGTTTTGTCATTATCTAGTTTATCAGATTTTACTAATGACTGTATTTCAGTTTACCTTGCATTGGGAATTGATATTTTTTATCAGGTTTGAGGGCTCCCTGTGTTTTTATTGCTATATTGTACAGACTTCCTCCCTTGCGGAACCATTCTGGTGGCAGTATATATTCCATCACACCATCACAAGTAAGACAGCGGTATAATTTTTTCTCTCTTACTGCTCTCTGAGTCGTCTTTAACACTTCTTCAGGTAGTACACCAACAATGCCTACAAAATATATACAGAAACCAAATGGAATGAAGGCAACAAGCAAGGTATACTGACCAACAAAATACAAAGATATTAAACAGAAAACAGAAATAAATGGGAAATGTGTCCATGGGACACAGATGATGCCCCCGCTTGCATATAACATTATAAAGGGACATAACTCAAGAACCCTAGAAGTGACGCTACCCAAATTTGTACTTGATCTGTGTTTTGTATTAATAAGCATTGTGTATAAGATTCATAACATTTTTTTGAGGCAAACTTAAGTTAGAGAACGGAAACGATTTGTAAAGGGGCATAACTATAGAACGGTAAAAGTGACGCCACCAAAATTCTATCTTGATCTGTGTTTTGTGGTAATAAGCATTGTGTATAAATTTCATAACATTTGATTGAGGCAAACTAAAGTTAGACACAAAACCAATTTTGGGACGTACGGACGGATAAGGGTAAAACTTAATGGCCCCTCCTTAACGGCTGTGGCACAAAAACCTAAGTCTTGAGCAGTATGAACTCTCAGGAAAATCCAGAATAATATCACGTGCTCCAGAAGGGTAATCACATTTTTTGCTTCATATTGTTCAATAGCTTAAGCCATTAATCAATAAAATGTGGAAAGGATTGCATTCAGTTAGAAAGCTTGAAGTACCCAGGTCAATTAACATCTTTCTTTAAACACTAATATGAAGTAACAAGGTGAATTTACATCTTTCTTTAAACACTAATATGAAGTACCTAGGTGAATTTACATCTTTCTTTAAACACTAATATGAAGTACCTAGGTGAATTTACATCTTTCTTTAAACACTAATATGAAGTACCTAGGTGAATTTACATCTTTCTCTAAACACTAATATGAAGTACCAAGGTCAATTTACGTCTTTCCTTAAACACTTATATTCTGTTAAATAATGTTTCAAACCTGAAGTTTTATACATAAACTGGTGGACGTCTGCAACAAGTTGCTGATGTACGCCGTGTTTTTCAAAGTAAACTTCTTCCATGGCTGACACAAGATGCCTCAGGTATTTATCCTGAAAAAAATAACAAGTTTAATTTATGTCAAACAAAAGGTAAATCACATATTGTGAAACTACTGTTTCAGATATTGAAGAAATTCTTTTCACTTTTGGATACTGGAATTCTATTACTTAAATATTTCATTATCAAATACTTTTAATGCAAATAAAGATGCATAGGAATATTATTAACATTTATGATAGTTCTAATCTTTCAGAACTATAAATAATATGAATAAGGAATGTAAAAACTTCTGTAAATTTGTTCAATCTATTCATTCGATACCATAAAAGCATATTAAACTGCCTTCCAGATTTTATTGTAGACTAGTATGCTTGCTGTCTAGTGCACGTAACAAACCATGTACTATACTATTGGTATTTGCTGCTACTTTGTCAAGCACACAGCATTTAGAAGTAAGAGCAAAGACTGGTCAGCTTTGAGTTTGAACAATGTCTGATTAGGGTGACATGTCTTTCTACAGAATGTTATATTGCATTTGTGAGCTTGCACAATTAAAATCACACTAGTACATATCATCCTGAATATCCTTGTAATATATTTGCATCTATATGTTAGGCAGCCATCAATCAATCAATCAAGCATAAGATGTATTATTTTTACCTTCAGATTGAAATTTGAAATATGCAAAATGTACAAGTCTATCTTTATACTTTGATGCAATGCTCAAACAGAATGACCGGTATCATGTGAAATATTTTTAACCTTAAAAATAATTATTGTGTGCATCTTTCTAGGAAAGTTGAGCGGAATTCTTGTAAAACCATATCATGTTTATTGTTAGGAAATAAACTTACAGACAAACATTTGTCACCACCAACAATACAATGACCATACTCATCTAACTCAATATATTTATCTAACAATGTACTTGACATGCCCCACGTCTTCTGGATCATGTAGCGAGGAATTTTAGGAGGTGGTTTTCCTGAAAAAAATAAACATAAAATACACTTTTATTGTATGGAAATCTTGGCGGATGTGAGAAAGAGTACATTTATCAAGACAAAAATTCTGCAAACATTTAAATTCAAATTTACTAGTTTTTCATTTGAATTGAGCTATTTTTTTTTATTTGTCAGCACAAATACCATTCCACTTTCAATAAAATGCTCCGCTAGGCACAGCTTGATACGACCGCAGAGGTCAAACCCTGAACAGTTGGGGCAAGTATGGACACAACATTCAAGCTTGATAGCACAGAATTTGGATTGTGATTAAATATTTGACACAGCATAGGTTTCTGACATAGAATGAATGTGGTCTAAGAACTTGAAAAATTTTAATTTACCTATTCAAACCATATCATTATTATTTGCTTTTATATATAAATCAGAAATAACCTATTTAAAATGGAAAATTTCAAAGTAAAAAAAAAAGTTAAAAAAAATCCCCCCCCCTAATTTTTTGAATCCCCTTATGATTCATCACCCCCAAACTCAATCCCAGCCTTCCCTTTGTGGTATGGTACCTTGCAATACAATTTCAGAGAGATCTATACACTGCAACACAAGTTATTGTCTGGAATCTAGAAAAATGCTTGTTTTTTGGCCCCTTTTTTGCCCCAAATTCCTAAACATTTAGGGCAATCACCCCCGAACTCAAACCCAGCTTTCCCTTTGTGATATGGAACCTTTTAGTACAATTTCATAAAGATCCATACAATTACACACAAGTAATTGTCCTGAAACTAGAAATACGCTTGTTTTTTGCCCCTTTTTGGCCCCTAATTCCTACAATTTTAAGGCAATTACCCCCAAAATCACTCCCAGCCTTCCCTTTGTGGTATGGTACCTTGCAGTACAATTTCAGAGAGATCCATACACTTGAACACAAGTAATTGTCTGGAAACTAGAATAAAATGCTTCGCTGGGGCGCAGCTTGATACGACCGCAGAGGTCGAACCCTGAACAGTTGGGGCAAGTATGGACACAACATTCAAGCTTGATACAGCTCTGAATTTGGATTGTGATTAAATATTTGACACAGCATAGGTTTCTGACACAGAAAGAATGTGGTCTAAGAACTTGAATTTTTTTAATTTACCTATTATGGTCCAATGTCCAAAATCAAAATACATGGTTAGATTCAGCATATCAAAGAACCCCATATATTCAATTTTTGTTAAAATCAAACAAAGTTTAATTTTGGACCCCAACTTGGACAAACTTGAAAACTGGGCCCATAATCAAAAATCTAAACACATGTTTAGATTCAGCATATCAAATAACCCTAAGAATTCAATTTTTGCTAAAATCAAACTAAGTTTAATTTTGGACCCTTTGGACCTTAATGTAGACCAGTTTAAAAAATGGGACTTAAAATTAAAAATCTAAATACACGGTTAGATTTGGAATATCAAAGAACCCCAATAATTCAATTTTTGATGAAATCAAACAAAGTTTAATTTTGGACCCTTTTGACCTCAATATGAACCAACTTGATAGCGGGGCCCACAAATAAAAAATCTAAATTCATGGTTAGATTCAGCATATCAAAGAACCCCATATATTCAATTTTTGTTGAAATCAAAAAAAGTTAAATTTTAGACCCCAACTTGGACAAACTTGAAAACTGGGCCCATAATAAAAAATCTAGACACATGTTTAGATTCAGCATATCAAAGAACCCCAAGAATTCAATTTTTGTTAAAATCAAACTAAGTTTAATTTTGGACCCTTTGGACCTCAATGAAGACCAATTTAAAAAACGGGACCCAAATTAAAAATCTAAAAACACGGTTAGATATGGCATATCAAAGAACCCCAATAATTCAATTTTTGATAAAATCAAACAAAGTTTAATTTTGGACCCTTTTGACCTCAATATGAACCAATTTGATAGCGGGGCCTACAAATAAAAAATCTAAATACATGGTTAGATTCAGCATATCAAAGAACCTGATATATTCAATTTTTGTTGAAATCAAACAAAGTTTAATTTTGGACCCCAATTTGAACCAACTTGAAAACTGGGCCCATAATCAAAAATCTAAATACATCTTTAGATTCAGCATATCAAAGAACCCCATATATTCAATTTTTGTTGAAATCAAACAAAGTTAAAATACTGGACCCTATCTTGGACCAACTTGAAAACTGGGCCCATAATCAAAAATCTAAACACATGTTTAGATTCAGCATATCAAAGAACCCCAAGAATTCAATTTTTGTTAAAATCAAACTAAGTTTAATTTTGGACCCTTTGGACCTTAATGTAGACCAATTTCAAAAACAGGACCCAAAATTAAAAATCTAAATACACAGTTAGATTTGGAATATCAAAGAACCCCAATAATTCAATTTTAGATGAAATCAAACAAAGTTTAATTTTGGACCCTTTTGACCTCAATATGAACCAATTTGATAACGGGGTCCACAAATAAAAAATCTAAATACATGGTTAGATTCAGCATATCAAGGAACCCCATATATTCAATTTTTGTTGAAATCAAACAAAGTTCAATTTTGGACCCCAATTTGGACCAACTTGAAAACTGGGCCAAAAATCAAAAATCTAAATACATGTTTAGATTCAGCATATCAAAGAACCTCATATATTCAATTTTTGCTAAAATCAAACAAAGTTTAATTTTGGACCCTTTGGACCTTAATGTAGACCAATTTGAAAACTGGACCCAAAATTAAAAATCTAAATACACTGTTGGATTCGGCATAACAAATAAATAAATGTGATCAAAGATTTTACAAATTTAATGCGCCATACTGTGCAATTAAAGATTTCTTCTTGAAATTTTTCAATATTTGAAATTTGAAAAAAAAATAATATTTGAAGAATAATTTTTTTAATTTCTGAAATCTGAAATGAGAAAAAATTGACCCCCCACAATTTCTTTTTATCCCCCCCCCCTTTTTTCCCCCAAAAAATTCTTTCCCTCAAGATATGGTCATAATCTCAATTCAAATTTCCAATGGAGTTGGCAACCATAATTACCCATTTAAATTTACCATAGTGCTAACTTAATCTATTTTATAATAGAATTAAAAATATAGTGTCAAATCTTTCATATGGATTTTTTTGTAAAAAAAAAAGATGCAACATTTGCAGATATTTTTACTGGTCTTCCTTAAGCTTTATAAATATGCATTTCTTTAAACATAATTTAAAAGCAGTGTAAGGGAAGTAACCAAAACGTTGTATTTTGATTACCTCCCTTACACTGTTTTAAATTATCTTTATTGTTCATTAACCATTACTTTATACATAATTTAAAAGCAGTGTAAGGGAGATAATTTCAATGATGTATTTGATTTATCTCCCTTACACTGCTTTAAATTATGTTTTGTACTAAAGTATTTGTCCATTAACCAGGACAACCTTGTTTTTCCCCCTTTTTTGCCCCTAATTCCTAAACGGTTTGAGCCATAACCCCCCAAAGCAAATCCTAACCATCCCTTTGTGGTATGGAAACTTGTAGTATAATTTCAGAGCGATCCATACACCGTTCCACAGTTATTGTCTGGAAACTAGAAAATGCTTATTTTTGGGCCCTTTTTGGCCCCTAATTCCTTAACTGTTGGTACCATAACCCCCAAAATCAATCCCAACCTTCCTTTTGTGGTATTTAACCTTATGGTCAAATTTCAAAAAGATCCATTTACTTAAACTAAAGTTAGAGTGCGAAAACCAATGTGTATTCGGACGACGACGCCAGACGACGACGACGACGACGACGACGCCGGACGACGACGACGACGCCGCCAACGTCATACCAATATACGACCACAAAATTTTTTGGCGGTCGTATAAAAATTGGTAAGGGTTCCGCGGAACCCAGTGTCTCGCCTACTTTTTCAGTTAATCGCAGGCTCAACAAAAATGAGGAAGTAAATCAATAAAAATATTCCTCTTGATACTATCTTTTGATTGTAAGAAGCTTCTGTCCAAGTTTGGTAAAAATCCAGGATAGTTTATGAATCTAATAAATGTTTAAAAACTTTAACTGCAGACTGAATGTAATGTTAACTGGAAGAAAACAAAATTTCCTTCTAGATACTAGCATTTGATCATTAACAAGCTTCTGTCCAAGTTTGGTACAAATCCAAAATAGTATAAGAAAGTTATTAAAATTTTAAAAACTTTAACCACAGAGTGAATGCGTTGTTTCCTGGCAGAAAATCTAAGTCCATTTAAAAGTAAAAAATGGAAAAAATGGATTTATTTTTTTTACAAAATTTCCTTCTAGATACTAGCTTTTGATCATAAACAAGCTTCTGTCCAAGTTTGGTACAAATCCAAAATAGTATAAGAAAGTTATTAAAATTTTAAAAACTTTAACCACAGAGTGAATGTGTTGTTTCCTGGCAGAAAATCTTAGTCCATTTAAAAGTAAAATAAGGAAAAAATGGATTTATTTTTTTACAAAATTTACTTCTGGATACTATCTTATGATCATAAACAAGCTTCTGTCCAAGTTTGGTACAAACCCAGGATAGTTTAAGAAAGTTATTAAAATTTTAAAAACTTTAACCACAGAGTGAATGTAATATTTCCCGGCAGAAAAACTAAGTCAATTTATAAGTAAAATACGGAAAAAATGGAATTTTATTTTTACAAAATTTACTTCTGGATACTATCTTATGATCATAAACAAGCTTCTGTCGAAGTTTGGTAGAAATCAAGGATAGTTTAAGAAATTATTAAAATTTCAAAAACTTTAACCACAGAGTGAATATGTTGTTTCCTGGCAGAAAATCTTAGTCCATTTAAAAGTAAAATAAGGAAAAAATGGATTTATTTTTTTACAAAATTTACTTCTGGATACTATCTTATGATCATAAACAAGCTTCTGTCCAAGTTTGGTACAAACCCAGGATAGTTTAAGAAAGTTATTAAAATTTTAAAAACTTTAACCACAGAGTGAATGTAATATTTCCCGGCAGAAAAACTAAGTCAATCTATAAGTAA